ACTTTTGTTTCTTTTTATTATTGAATAATATTTCTTTATAAGGTTATCACATTTTGTTTTTCCGTTTATCAGCTGATGGAGATTTGGGTTCTGTCTTTATTATGAATAATAATAATACTGGGAACACTTGTGGACAAGATTTTGTGTGGAGATATATTTCAATTTCTCTTGAATACGATCTAGGATAGATATGTTGTGTCATATGTTGACTCCATATCAACTTTAAGAAGACCCTCCAGACCGTTTTTGTAAATGTGCCATTTACATTTTCACCAACACTGTATGAGAATTCTCATTTCTTCATCTTTCTTTTAACATTTATTATTGTATGGTTTTTTAATACTAATCCGGTGGTTGTGAGGTGGTATCTTAAGGTGATTTTGATTTCCTTTTCCCCAATGACTAAGGATGATGAGCATTCTTTAATGTTTTAGTCATTTCTTATATCATCTTTTGAGAAATATTCATTATAATCCCCCACCCTGCAGTGATGCTGTGAGTCAAACCCACAGCCATGTGTATGATAGGCAAGTTGCAAGTTGCTCTACCACTAAGCTACTCCCTGTCCTTTACTCATTTTTAAAAAATTTAATTTATTATAACTTTTTTTTTCCCTTAAAGTTTTGATGCTGGGAATTTCACTCAGGGTCTGTGCATGATAGGGAAGGGTCCTACAACCGATCTATGCTCCAGCCTCCTAAATTGTTCTTTAAAAAATATATTTTAGTTGTAGTGGACACAGTACCTTTATTTTATTTATTGATTTTTATGTGGTGCTGAGGATCCAGCCCAGGTCCTCACACATGGTAGGCGAGCGCTTTACCCCTGAGCCACAACCCCTGCCCTTGTTTTTGTCTTTTTATTGTTTAGTTTTATATTCTAGATACCAGCTCATTTTAATTATGTGATTTGCAAATACTTTCTTTCCATTCAGGGGGCATGTTTTATTTTCTTGGTAATACCGTTTGAAGCATAAAGATTCTGAGTTGTAATGAAGTTCAACTTCAAGTCGTTCCCCCCCCCCGTATAAATGCTTATGTTTTTGGTGATGTATGTAAGAAACATTACCTAACCCCCAAGATCATGAAAATTAACTCCTGTTTGCTCAACTGCTCCAGAGTTACATAGTCCTGGGTATATAGGTATCTATTTGTCCAGTACTATCTGTTGGAAGGACTATTATGTCTCATCATTTAATTGTCTTCATACCCTTGTTGAAATATTTCTGGATCCTCCCCAATCCCATGGCTATTTGTATGTGCTTCTAGTAACTCTCGTATAAAATAAATTCTTGAGGGGTTTCATTAGGATTAATGGGAGTTGTTTCTTTTCTGACCTTCATGAGAATGTACTTGGTTAGATAATCTGTCACCTCTCAATTTTTTTTTTTTTTTTAGATTTAACCAGCTTTTGCATTATTCTAGAAACCTCTTTTAGAGATTTAGAGGTGACTTGAAGATGATGTGGCATGGCTTCTTTGTGTCTGCCTGAGGGAAACTTACCTATGTAAGTTTCTCCTGTATCGTAGGCAGTAGCAGGATGAATGGGTTGAAGAAGAATCAGTGATTGGAGCTACAGCATTTGGCTATTGAACCAGTACTTACTATTATGAGTTGAACGATTTGAGAGTCTGTGCTAATTGCTACATAGTAGGTCAGTAAGAGAAGCTTTTGAAAAAAGAATTACTGATATGAACAGGCATCTGTGAGCAGAGCTGCCACTGTGGTACAGGTTGAATCCAGAGTCTAGAATAGTACCATCCAGTAGAAATACATTTTGTGCCTTCCTGTAATATGAGATTCCAGTGGCCACATTAAAAAAAAAGTAAAAGAATTAAGTGAAATTAATAATATACTTTAACTAATGTACAAAAATGATAACGTGTAATAATTACTAATATAATACTTTACTTTTTTGTACAAAGTCTTAGAAATCTAGTATGTATTTTATATTTACAGCAAATTTAATTTTGAACTAGACACATTTCAAATGCCTGTGACCAGTGACTAATGTATTGGGTGTCCAGTTCTAGATATTTTGATATTACAGTCAGTTGAGCTGTTACATCAACATTACTCAGTGTTCTCTCTACTTCATGATATCCTGACTTCAGACTTTTAACTTAACTTAGTAGCACTGGCCTTTGAGGAGCATTCTCACTGGCAGAATGTAAAATGACTGCTCACTTAGACCAGAGGGTCTGAGAATTTTATTACGCTATTTTGGCAGCTCAGCATTTTGGTAAATGAGACACACTTTATGATGAATGTGCCTAAGTCTCTGACGTGAGAGGAAATGGCCAATGAAAATTTTATTCTGTTCTCCCAGATACAGTCTGTTCCACTGAAGAAAATAGAAAATATCACTAGTGCAGTGGTTCTCAGTTGGAATGATCCCCCCTGCCTTCTAACACACTTTGGCATTTTTTTATATTTGGACATATTTTTGGCAGTCACAGTAGGGTGTGTGTATGTGCGTTACTGACATGTAGGGGCTAAAGGCCTGGAATAGTAATAAGTATTCTACAATGCACCAAACAGTTCCCACAACAATTAATTACTTGGCCCAGGTGTGAATAGTGCTGAGCATAGTGGTTTGCTGCACTAGAACTGGATCTTTCTTTTGTTGTTAAATCATTTCTACAGTGAATACAATGTGCTTTACATTTAGAGAATCAACTCACTTTATTTTCATATAAAATTTCTAAGTTAGGAAAAATAGCTTTCAAAATACATCTGATTGAGCCAATTTGTTAGGTAGATTTTGCTTATACCCCTGAAGCATGGGTCTGGAAGCAGCTTTCTGTCAAGCAGGGAACAGCAGTGTTTCTCATTCTTACCTCAGTGGAAGTGGTAAGACTGTTGTAGTCCCTGCCTGCTTCCCCTTCTTTAGAACTCCCCTATGCCTAGGACTATTTTGAGCTCAGCTATATCTGTTAAAAAGAAAATGAGCTTTTATAAGACTGCCAGAAAGATGATTACACTTCCCTAACACCTATTAGAATTTCTGGATATATTGTGAAAGTCATGTGTGTGTATGTGTGACTGTTCCCTTTTAGTGCCCCATCATGACTGACAGGTAACTCAGAATGTTGTCACTGCCATACTTTTAATATCTGTTACCTAGGGAGCTGTAACTTTAGGAGTCTTCATAAGATTAAGCAAGCAGAAATCAGTGCAGTTACATTTTACTTTCTTTAGCTGACCTGCCAAAGGTAATCATACTTGCCAGCAAGTATGTGCTTCACTTTACCTGTTGTATATGATCCCTTCTCTTTCCTCATGATATTTGATGTTTCTGCTGCCTCTCATCCTTGTCCCTTTGTCTCAGTTGTGGCAGTTTGAGCTTTTGATGGCAAGCCACATGCATTAATAGCTATGGTTAGCTTGGGCAATGTAGTAGAGGAAGTGTGAGGACTTTCAGATTGGGGAAGGACATAACCCCAGCCCAGGGCAATGACTTTTTTAAAGAAAGAAAGATAGGGGCAGTGGTTAGGACACTCCTCTGTTTCTGATTTTTTAAATCAGTTAAGGATGACCTTGGCTCCTGTGACACATCACCTTGTCAAGATTCCAATGCTGGAGAGTGAGCCTTGGCTTTATTAGGCTCTACTAAAGTGAGGGGGGAAAAGATCTGGGATCATCTTTCGGTCAGCAGCCCCAAAGAAAATCCAGGTGCCATTTTGATGCTACTGAGATTCCTCTTACTTCCCATAACTAGGGAAACCCCTTCCCCCATCATCCTACTGATAATGCCTCTGGGGAATACCCTCATTAGCCCAAGCTCTTGCACCTGCCATAAATATCTGCTCCCACTCTCATTTCACCCACATCTCCAAGACTAGTTAGGAGAGCAGTGATGGCTCTATTAGGAGGGCAGCTTAAGAGACAGATGGGCTTCTGGCATCCAAGTAGAGACATTAGTGTTTTCCACATTGAGACATGATTAGAAATAGAAATTAACTTTCATATCAAGTACAAGTTTGATTTTATAGAATCCCATTATGAATGTTTTGCTTTTAAGAAAATGTAATTAATATGTGTGTGTCTTTCTAGATTTTTTAAATTTTGCATTTTTAAGACCGCAGACTTTTCTTATTTTATAGGTTTTTGTATTCTTTGTAAAAGAATATATTAAATATCATTGAACCTTTTTGGGACAATTACAAATGGCCTTTGCAAATCTTGTACCTCTAGGAACTGTATTTGTGTTTGACCAAGAGTAGATCTATTTTTTATTTTAGTTATTTAATTAATTATTTTTGGAACTGAAGATTGAACCCAGGGACATTTACCACTGAGCTCCATCCCCAGCTTTTAAAATTCTTACGTTGAGACAGGGTCTTGCTAAGTTGTTTCAGACCGCACTAAGTTGCTGAATCTGGCCTCGAACTTATTAGATCTTCCTGCCTCAGCCTCCTGAGTTGCTGGAGATTTATTTTTTAATTTCCACTTTGGGCCAATGTTCTTGATAAGTAAAGTTGATAGATAACTAAATTCTTAAGTGAAAATAACTATAACTGTACTTTAGGTACAGTATGTGTTAATTTCCTTTTATGAGTTATTCTAGAAACATAATTTCCTTCTACTTCTATGGAAAGGAAATTCTGATTTTCAAACAGGAGAAAACAAACTCCTTTATAAACTAGTGCTGCTTGCACCTCTTGTTGTAGTTGCTGTGGCATGTTTTCTAACTAACTAAAGCTGTGTAGCATGGGATGCTCTTTCATTTCAATCAATTTCACAGCATTGTCAAGAAATATTGAAGTTCTGAGTGAAAAGATGCCTATAAAAATGCTCTTTAATTAATATGAGTAGTCCCCCCCCATTTATATATTGAAATACTACTTGAATTCAATCAAAATGGATGAAGTGACATAAATCAGCATTTATTCTTAGCATGTGACAAGTTTTCTTTTCCTATATTAAGAAACTCCCATATGTATCCATAATGCAAGATTTACTTCTGAGTAAATAGATGTTTTCTTTCCACTGTTTCAGGCCGGAGCCTCAACAGAAAGCTCCTTTAGTTCCTCCTCCACCACCACCGCCACCTCCACCACCACCGCTGCCAGACCCCACACCCCCAGAGCCAGAGGAGGAGATCCTGGGATCAGATGATGAGGAACAAGAGGACCCTGCAGATTACTGCAAAGGTGATGTGTGGGCATGGCTGTGCAGACACAGCAGCTGGGCCTGTTTTCCTCACTCAGTCACCCATTAACTTGCGGAATAGTTGTGGAGAGGCATACTGCTTGGGCTTAATTAAAATTAGCCTCCTTGTTCATTGACAGTAGAATGATACCAGATTAATTGTAAGCTATGAGAATATGTACATACATACTTTAGGTACTTTGGAAAGTTTTTAATTTGATACAATTAAGGAAGAGCATATGGAGTTGAAGATAACCAGGCTCCTGAGATGAGATGATTGTAATTTTTGAATTTGACTTTCAGTTTTCTGGCTGTCGAACTGAAAAGGGACCATTCCCTTCTCTATGGAGCATTGAATTACATAATATTCATTGTCTGCAGAAAGAAAGCATACACATTTGTTTACAGAGAGAGATTTTTTTCCTGGCATTGTACATAACGAAAAAGACATTTTGTGGAGTCTGCTATGATGCGACCCAGTGGATTTTGTTTTCAGCTATGATTTCACAGAAGACATAGAAACCATTCAAGTCAATCAATCGATGCTTTGTTAAGACCAAAAATATAAAATTGGATTCCCGAGGGCAAGCATGTTATATGAGGAATACTGAAGACAGTGTGACCTAGACACTGTACTTCACGGACTAGACTCTGAGAATCTAGGAGAAAAGGAAGTTGTTGTGTTCATTCATCTGCTACTGTTTCTTAATTTACTCATTTGGATTTTAATTCCCTGGAATTCTGAGCTTCTGAGCAGTTCCTACTATGATAGTTTAGTTGCTGTAGATTTTTAAAAATTTAAATCAGATTCCATGTAACAAAGAAGATGACAGAAGATGTACAAATGAACAGACCTTTAAAACATTAAGCAATTATAAGGACTGTAGTTTCTTAGTAATTTATGATATGATATTATTTCTGTGTTAGTTAAAAAACAATATACTTTTAGTTAATCTGCTAAGAAGAGGACAATGTTTTTCTGCTATGAAAGTATAAGAACTAAATTTCTACTGTAAACCTAATTCTTCCACAAGTGTAGGCATCTACACACAGAATCACTATTTCCTTTAGAAAAGAGAATGAGGATCTTACCATTTTATCTAAATATGGTTATGACCCCAAAGGTCTAGGTCCATGCTGTCTAATAAAAGAAAATAAATAGTTTGGAAAGGTGAGAAGTAGAAATTCCCTAACCTGTCTCTTAATCTGCATTTCTTGGCTTGAAAATTAGGTTGCTAAAAGAGAAAATGTGGACTACTATTTTTTAGTTTTACTGCTGAGGTAAAAGCCTTAGGCTTGTCCAATGAAACCATCCTTCAGGAGCTGTTCTCTTCAGCAATAGGCTCTACCATGCTGGAAAGAAAACTGCCTGCTCTACACCTGACTGTCCTGTCTGTTGGTCAGGAGGTGGAGCCAGTATTCTCATTGCCCTTCCGTCTCTGAGGACCAGCACAGGGATAGCCTGTCCTCAAATACAGAGCCAAGGATTAGAAAGTTCAGCAGTCAGGGATGATTTTAGGTAACACTCGCTGAACTCTAAATATCTTAAAGAGTTTAGTCAGTCTCAACAAGGCCTGTTAGAGATGGCTAGATGTTCTCCCTATGTGCATGCGTGCACATGCATTCCTATACACATGTACTGTTTTCCATTCTTAAATTTTGTAACTAGTGCCTCTAGTTTGCATTACATGTGCCAGATGCCATCCATACTCTGAATTTTGTGGTATAGATCATAACAATTTGTGTTAGATAACTGACATAAATATATTTAAGGAATCTGTGTTAGATTTTTGTTGCTGTTGCAAAATACCTATAATCAAAAGGAGGAAAAAGTTCATTTTGTCCCAGTTTCACTTTTCAGTTCATGGTCCTATGAACCCGTGGTGAGGCAGAACATCTTGGCTTGAGGCCATAATAGAGAAAACTGCTCACCTCAAGAGGGCTGTAAAGCAAAGAGAGAACGGGATAGGAGGAAGGGGCAGGGTCCGAATGTCCCTCCCCTTCAAGGGCATAACCCCCGTGACCTAACTTTTTTCTACTAGACCTTACTTCCTGAAGGTACCATTACTTCCCAGTAGAACCACAGGCTGGTGACCAAAGCCTTCAGCACATGAGTTTTGGAAGACATTTTGAGTCCAAAGGAATAACAGAGTCCAAGGGATTGGACTGGAATGTCTAGTATAAGAACTGTGGACTTCAAATTTCTTTCTATATTGGATGAAAGAGATAGTTCTCCCCCACACACTAGAACTGATTTAGGTCTCTTAAGTTAATAAAGATGCTTTATCGCCTCTGAGTATTTAGTGTATTAGCCTGCTATCAAGTACATTCTCCTATGAGCCACACTACAATGATCAGGATTAGGGAGTTAACATGTTAGTATTATTTAACCATCAGGAACCATTTAGCATCTGACAGTTGCCCAGTATAAAGTAGTTCCATGGCAGAATCATATATTACATTTTGTTGTCTTGTTCCTTTCATCTCCTTTATTTGGAACAGTTTCTGAGTATTTTCTTGGCTTTCATGCCCTTGACATTTGAAGATTGTAGGCCAATTATTTTATAACATTTCTCAATTTGGAATACCCCACAAGTGATGTTGTAAGGTCTTTTCAGTGCGTCCTATCCAGGTGGTAAACATTTTGATTCAGTGCCTTAGAGGTGGTGCCATCAATTTAGATTGTGACTATTAGATATCTCTACTGTACAGTTAATCTTTCCCCCTAATTAATAATTATTTTGTTGAGAGCTATTTTGAGACCAAAGCAATATCTCAGTCAACATGTCCATCCCCTGTCCCAACTGTCTGAATTTCTGTTTCAGAAATGATGTTAATAGATTAACTCATCATAGACGTCTGTTTTATTCAGTGGGTTATAATCAGCTACCCTCAATTTATTATGATGGTTGGATTTACCCTGAATCCTTGGAGCCCAGAGGATTTTGCTCAGTTTTCTCCTCTTTGATCTTGTGGCTTCTTTCTGATTTATAAGAGGCCAGGCTCTCATTGTCGCATTACATTTACTTAGCTGATTTATTTCCTTGCTTGTGATGAGTAACCTGTTGCTATCATTGACATTTTGGTCACCTCTCCCTGGCATGGGCACTGACACCCTTTATGCCTTTCCCTGACTAATGGCTTTGGGACGAAATTGTTCAGGAAGGGTTAAGGGGAGGGCTTGCTCTCAAGAGTGGGAGGATATTTTACTTAGGCCGAGGTGTCTTGTTTGGATCCTGCCACTGTATTTGTTCCTCTTGTTGTCATTGCCTTCATTCCTAAAGCACTTCTGCTCTGTTAGCCACTTTTCATTTCTCCCCAATTACAACGAAGCATCAACAACAAAATATACCACATATCTTTTCTCTTCACAAAGGAATATTTATTCATCACAGGAAATACTACACTTTTAGTGGATGTCTCTTGGAACCTGTCACTTAGCAGCTGCTACCATGAGCCTTTGAATCCTTGCTGTTCTTAGTCATTCACGACTGGCCACATTGCATTTGATCTTTAACTCCTTACTGCAGCATGCCTTCCCATATTCAAAATTATGAGTCCACTATCACTTACCAAAAGGCACTCTTTATAGTTCTGATGTTTCTAACCTATTATTCATTACTTCTGTCTTCTTGCATTGCCATCGTCTTTGGAGTGGGACTTTCTTTTTCCTTTCTTGGTAGCCAGCTTGTTTAATCTTAACTCCACAGGAGGATTGTGGACTGGTGCCCGAGAGATCTGGGTTCTGAATCTGACTCTGCTGCTCTCTGGCTCTGTATCCTTGCCTTTTTTTTTTTTTTTTATTAAATCTATGATGTCGAAATATATAATAATGTCTTTCTTACTAAGATTTTTATGGGGATGAAAATGAGATAACATGTGAAGTGTGTGGCATAGTACATGATACTAGAAGATTTCTTAAGAAGTATGAATTTTATTTTCTATTTTGTGGTATTTATTCCACAGTTCTTCCCTCGAGTGCATCCCCCTCTGTATTTTCCTGCTACTCCCATTGGTACTGGTTCCCTTAGTGCCCTGCCTGAGCTTTCTAGTAGGAGAGTGTTTGTTAGCCTCTGGAGAGAGAGAGAGAGAGCTGTCAGTGCTGCCTGTCTTTTTCATGTGTCACCTGTGGTCAGTGGCATGGGCAGGAAAAGAGCAGCAGGTTATGAAGTTTATTCAGATCCCACTTCCAGGGTAGTCTATAAAACAAGCACTGTGGAAGGCCTTGCGCAATCTGTGCTCACTTCCTGTATGTCACAGGATTTTAGAGTCATTAGTGTACCTGGTAAGCATTCCTGGGCTTCACTGCAAGCTCCCAAATTGGAATCCTGGGGATTGGGTCTGGAACTTCTTCAGATGATTTTTCTACATGTTGAAAGTTGAAGTCTACTGATCTAAGACTTGTACCACACTTCTAAAACTCCAAAGCTTCTGCAGAGTGAAGTAACCCTTCACTCCACCCCATACTGACTCACAGAATAAGGGAGACAGTGCTTTGACCTACTTTATATTTCTTTTGGGAACCCTCCATACATACCGCTGCAAGGACCTGATAAATGATGACAACAGCAGCATTGCTTTCTTCTGTCAGGCTGCCTGCTCTGACAGACTTCTCAGGGATCCCATTTTGTAGCTCTCTTAAATCATTCTTAGATCTAAGTTGGGGTCATTGTATTGTTTTATCACATTATCTCTGGAGACATCGATTTCAATGCAGTTGTGGTCTGACTGTGTATGAAAACATGTTATTTACTTGGAAATGCCTTCCTTTAACCCCTATTTAGATCTTAGGTCCCCATCCTCATTGCTCACAGTAGTTCCCTCTTGCATAGTACTTTTCACAGTATGTAATTACACATTTGTTTTTGTGTTTGTTTATAATCTTCTTTCACTACTCTGAAAGTTCCTTGCAGTTAAGGACTCTATATTTTGTTACCCCTATGGCATTTGAGCCATCCATGACACAGTGATTTTTTTTTTGTTGTTGTTGTTGTTCAGATGA